CCTTAATCCTCCAATGAAGGTAACACCAAGACCCTGTTTTCACCGCTGAACCATGTTTTTCATCCCCCTGAATCACTTTCATTCATCAGAAGCCTGCGATTCCCTCATGTCCTTTTTAATGACAACACTTTTTTATTCCATCATCTGCCCTCCTCTGACCCCCCCCCCCCCCCCAGTCAGCCATTTTCTAACTTTCAGATTCCTTCTGCCTCTGAAACAGTTGACTTCTTCCAAACATTCAAGCCCTCCACATGTTCACTAAATGACAACTCTGGTAAAGTCTTCTTGTTTTCCTCTTCTTCCTTTGATTTCTGCCGTCGTTCACTCTGTTCTTTCTCCTGGAACGGTTCTAAATCTTTTCAAAACCGCAGTTTTCACCCCATTCTAAACAAAACGGGTCTAATCCTCATTACTTAATCTTCGTCCCATCTCTAACCTTCATCGTCCATGCTCAATAATCCAGGTATACAATCCAACAATTTTCAGTCAGGTCATCTGGCCACTTTCTTTTTTTGTGCTGAAATGTTTCACCTTCCATCCAGAAGGCTTCATCAGTCAAGGAAACACACAACAAAACTGATTCTTCCCCAAACAGCTTACTCCAAAGTGGAACAAACCAGTTGACCTGACTGAAAATTGTTGGATTGTATACCTGGATTATTGAGCATGGACTTTGTTGGTTTTGAACCAGTTTGGCATGACTGTCAATGAGGAAGAGGGCCGGCAACAGAGGAGGGGGCATACCAAAGACACCATCTTAGCACCAACTTAACTGGTTTGTTCCACTTTGGAGTAAGCTGTTTGGGGGAAGAATCAGTTTTATGTTGTGTGTTTCCTTGACTGATGAAGCCTTCTGGATAGAAGGTGAAATGCTTCAGCAAAAAAAAAGAAACTGTCCAGATGACCTGACTGAAAATTGTTGTCATCTCTAACCTTCCGTTAATCTCCAAAACTCAAAAAAACTGTTGCCTCTCTACTCAATTCCTGTTTAACCAAAACATGAACAACCCCAGTCTGGTTTCTGCTCTGGGCACAGCACAGACTCTGCTCTCCTGAGAATCACTCACGTTCTTCTCATTGCAGTGGATTCTGCTTTACTTTCCTTCCTCATCCTCCTTGACCTGAGTGCAGCCTTTGATACCATCTCCCACAATATCCTCCTCCATAGACTATCATCCTGGCATCACCTGCACGCTCCTTGCTTGGTTTCATTGATATCTCTCTGGTTGTACTTCGTTCATGCAACTCAGATTCTTCAGACCTCACTCCTCCCCCATCCCTTCATGTGTGCATCAGGGTTATGTCCTGGTGCTCCTTCTTTTCATCACCTATCTTCTTTCCCTTAGTACACATCTGTGCATGCATGACATGAGCAACTATGAAAAATGTTGCTGAGGCAGGTTAACACAAGGGTCAAGGTTCTTTATTGTCATTCTCATCACATGTGGTACATGAGGTGGAATGAAATTGTGTTAATAATGCAGACAATGCAGATGTTCCTGTTTTTAGTTTTTTACATTCGCCTTAGAATCTAGCTGTTTTTTGTTACTTTTCTTTTCACTTTTCTTTTTTTAAGCCATCCTATTTGTTAAAAAAAAGACTTTTTATAACTGTTTATTGTTGTTGCTGTTGTCCATTGTTGTCATCATTCTTTGTTAAATCAGGTCTCTGAGTCCTCGAGGCTCAATGGGATTTACCTGTAGAAATAAAGGTTGATTGAAAAATAATCACGTTAAAAGTTACAAATGTTGTCTTTTGGTGCCTGTTTTCCAAAGATATAAGTGCATGTGAATGACAGGGATTAACTTCAAACCCTTTGTAGTGTTTTATGAAGTTCAGTCCATCTCCTTGTTAGTTGACCCACAGATCTGCCACATTCAATATGGCGGACGCTCTGACGACCCATCATCTCAACGAGGCGTCCAAACCATCTGTTCTCTGATTGGATCCTTAATTTGTGATTGACATGAGATTAACCAATCAGCTGAGAGGAGTATAATCCAGGACAAAAGTCGTACACGTAGTTTTTGGATTCGTATCTGTAAACAGAACATCGTAAAAAAGTTTTGTAACTTGTGATTTTTTTGTTACAAATACAAAACGTTTTTACACCTGCAAAATACTTAAGGCTGGAATTAGTGTGGTGGAGAATAGCAGGGCTAAGAGACCAACCTCATCCACAAAATGTACATTTTACACAAATGTATCTCAGTCAGAGTCAACGCTTCTGAGATAAAGGTGGATCAGTGCACTGTCGCTTCACTTAATGATTTATATTTGTCTTTAATGTGTTTCAAACACCAGATCTGAAGGTGAGGCTGTCTGGCCCCACCAACTGCTCTGGGAGAGTTGAAGTCTACTACGGTGGGGTCTGGGGAACAGTCTGCGATGAAGGCTTTGACATGAGCGATGCTGCGGTGGTCTGCAGGGAGGTGGGCTGTGAGGCAGCGTATGGTGTCCGTTCTCAAGCTTACTTTGGTCCAGGAAGTGGATCCGTCTGGCTTTCTAATGTGGGCTGCTCAGGAAGTGAGAAGAACCTGTCGGACTGTTCCCACAGTGGATTTGGAGCGACTCAGTGTGCTCACAGTAATGATGTTGGTGTTTACTGTGAAGGTACACTACTTTTTACGTGCACTCATACCGTGACATGCACTGTGTTAACTTCTGTGCATTTTGTGCTTGTCTGTGCTAAAACTAGAACATTGTTTTAGTTGAACCAAGATGGAGCACAGATATTTGTCTCTGAAGAAGAAACATTTTTAAGGTTACAACATGATTTTAAGATAAAACTTTATCTTTAGTTGAGAATTATGAATCAAGTTGTGATACTTAAAACTAATCCATTGTTTATTCAAGCACTCTTTTCTGTTTTAGAGGAGGATTTAACAGGTGCTCAGCAACTTTTTAATACATTTGTTTATGTCTGTACTGTTTTTAAAGCCACTTTTGAAAAATGGATCAAAATGCAAGTTGTGCAAAACTCTACGGTGGATCTGAATAGTCCGGCTGTGATGGAGAACCTCCAGAAGCAGGTAACTGAAGAAGACTACATGGATGATACATCTTATTTACACACACCATCCATCCATCTGTGTATATATACTGATGGATGGATGGATGGACAGACGGACGGACGGACGGACGGACGGACGGACGGACGGACGGACGGATGGATGGATGGATGGATGGATGGATGGA